AGCAGGTGGCATATTATCATTATAATATTGCAACATTCCTCCTCTGAATCCTTGACTTCCTTTATAGTGTTTGAGCCCATTCTCCAGGACAGGAATGTTCTTTGCTAGAGACTGGGAGCAGGGTCATTTGATTTCTGTAGTCTTTAGAGATAGAGTGTTTTCTGACTCCATTTTGTCCAGTTACTGGCCACTTGTCTTCTGACTCTCCTTGGCTTGACACTGGATGGATAGCCAAAAACAGGTCATCTCCACGGATGTCAGAACCGGGTGATTCCAGGTCTTCATCCTGGGATGTCTCAGAATTGTCCCGTTTGCAACCGAAAAAAAGTTCTTGGTTTTGGGCATGGCAGTTTTACATCTCCCCCCAATGCATTCTCTTCAGTTGTTGATATACAAATCTTCCTGACAACACGAGAGGTTCCAGTATTTGTCCTGGACAATTCTTTGTCCATTCCACCTACAGCTCCTTTACAAGGAGTATGCAGTTGTTCAGACACAGCCACATGGTTCTCATGTGGCAAATCTCCAGAATGGATAGCACACTTGTGGCCCTGTGGTCCACACACACCAACTGGAAAACTCAGGTTGTTCTCTTGCACAACAACCTCCCCAAAAGGTATGGTACTTGGCTGTCGGCAAGGCTGGAAATGTACATTTTTTAGAGAGAGAGAGAGATCTCCCATGGTTGTATCAGCTCCCGAACACCTCTCAGTAACTGACTTTTATTGGGACCACTGCGACATCTACCCCACATGTGGATCTGTTCTCTCAGTTGGCCCATCTTTCTCAGCTGCCTGTCTACCAGAGACTGCCTGAACTGCGGCTGCATTCTCTCTTTTTATCTGTTGCATCTGTTGCTGGGTATCCCTATGTATTTGTTCCATTCTCTCCAGCAGGTAGCGTTCCTCTTTCTGAGCTCCAAATAGCAGAATCCAAACCCTGGTTTACTTTGTCCACTTCTGCAGTTTGCCATTCCCTTAGCTGCTGGAGTTCCTGCTCACTCTGTGATAGGTCACATAGTGCCTGTGTTATCCAGGTAGGAAAGGAGCTGAGAGACTGGGAGGAGACCTCATGTTTCTCAAAGACTGAACTGGAAAGACGCACAGGGGTGCTGGACACTGTTTGGGATACAGTTGCTGGAAAGGGTCTCTTGTGGAAGTGTGACCCAAGCAGCATCACTCTATATTAGGGGGCTTTCTGAACTTCAGCTTCACTGATGATACCTGTTGGAAATAAATAAATAAATAAATAAATAAATTAGTAAAAAAAAAAAAAAAAGCCTTGTAAAATTCTTGACAAAATACCACACACATACTGTGTACAAATAATAAATAGAACCCAGATGTATTGACTCTGCCAACATTTCTGCAAAACCTGACCATTTCTCTAAAAACCATTTCTGTTGCTCTGGGTACATTTCGCCGCACTTTTCATGACTTGTAAACAAGAGGCATTATAAGCTATATCATTTATTCTCCTTTGCAGATGTGGGTTTATTATACAGCACAGGATCATGAAAATGTGTGCCTGTTAGTACAAAATGGTTGCAAAATGATATTGCATTGCTTGTAACGCATTTCACATGCAAGTATACTACATCAGAAAAGCCATAGATATGGAAATCAAAATGTGTTAACTTACAAATTGTGCACTATGGTAAACAGTGTTTTGAGCTCATAACATAATATTGTGCCAGGAACCGTGCAAAAATATGCCTTTATGTGTTGATAATCTGCCCCGTAATCATAATTTGTGGGAACAGAAATAAAGGTATTTGGTGTTTTACTGCCACTAGTGTTTATTTAAACTGTAAACTGCAGTGAAATGTCTCTATAAACACATTTTGCAATTTTGTATTCCTCTTATATGATACAAATAAGTTATTGTATGCCTTGGTTGCTTCGTTCCCTGCTGGTGTAATACAGACCTCTGTAGTGTCTTTTTTAGCAGAACACTAGTCTTCTGTTGAGTCACACACATTTTACTGATAACCACTGGGGGCAACTGAAAACTAGGACGTCTCACAGAAGGCTTTAGCCTCCTGAGTTTGACAACTGATACCAGAGGCATTAACCTACTTGGTAACATTTTGTGTGTTTACGGTCTATATATATATCGAAGTGGTGGTGGGCCGCCTGGACCAAAACATGCCAGGACCGATTTTTTGTCCCAGTCCAGCCCTGAATGTGACCAAAACATGCCAGGGCCGATTTTTTGTCCCAGTCCAGCCCTGAATGTAACTAATTACAGATACTTTCGTTACAGTACTTGAGTAAATTTTTAAATTTTATAATTGTATAATTAAATTATGATTAAATAATTACTAAAGTAAAACTAAAGTATTCAACTTCGCTACATTTATTTTTCACCAAAAGTACAAAAAAAAAACAGACAAAGAAGGCACCGATGGAGAAACAGAGCGAGCCGGCGTTTGACCCAGTAGCCCCTCACTGTAGAACACAAAATCCAGGGGGCGTGGTTGGATCTAGGGGGTGGAGATGGGTGGGTTTAGGGATTGGGGGTGGAGATGGGTAGGTTTGGGTATATGTAAGGTAGGAGGAGTTGGATCTGGATCCAACCATGCCCCCTCGATCTTGTGTTCTGCAGTGAGGACCATCTTGTTTGACGGGCACATTTCAAACTTCTGGGGTGGAGTCCTGCGCTTCAGCCAATAACAGACAGGTCTGACTCGGGTGCAAAACCAATCAAAACTTCCAGTTCAGCTAGGGGGCGGGCCGTTCAAACCGCGCTTTGCTTTGACTGTCAATCACCGGCATTGTCGTTTTGAATCAGCATCATTAGCGTTTCAGTATTTTAGTGAATGTGAATGTGAGCTATGCTCTGATTTTAAATCGTAATTTTGTCAGGTCCTGAAATGGGTCATACCGTAGATATTACACAGCAGTATAAGTAAATAGAAACTCAGCTGATAGAAGACCGCAGTTATTGCATGGATGGAGCAAAAACAATGTAAGTGTCTATGCACACAGTTCAGTTGAATGGTAAAAATCCCTCTTTAACAGTGCAGTTAAACTAAATGTAGGAAGCTAATATAACCTCAACATTGACAACAACATTGAAATAAGAGCGCATGCATTTTACGTGCATCTGACTGATAGATCAACTATGATTTATCTGTCAATCAGATGCATTTAAAATCACTTTTCTGTGTGCGTGCTTTGGATGTGTGAGCACATGGGCGAAGAAACAAGATAGTCTATGACGATTTATTCATATCCACATCCAAACGAGACGATATGAACATTACTGAGTGCGGAACACTCTCATGCAGTGCATGTTTCATTCATACTCGAAGCCGAGGGCCTCTCCCACAGAAAGTCCAAAACCACCTAGTAGAAGTAATAACTTATGACGTGCAGGAAATCCCTAATATGGACAAAGGCATCCCGCTATTGCTGTAGCTAAAAAAGGTATTTTCAGGTCATTTTGAGGTAATAAATATAGTATATGAATAATGCAGTGCTAATTGACGTAACATTTAATACAGTATAGAAAATATTCTGCCTTATTATGTGTTTGTATAAATCAATTCTAAAAGTGTCATTAGGAAAATACAGAAAAAAATATTATAGATACAAATTATTGGTTATCATCCAGCAGTGTATTTGATTTATTATCCAATTAAAATACATAAGAAAAAATAAAGCCTGTCAATTTGACAAGTCAAAATTTTATTTTTTATTATTTATTTTTTTTACATTTCTGTCCCCCTCATTTCTGTGATCAAATGATGGCTATGCCCCTATGTTTGCAGTACAGAAAACAGAGCATGAGTCTTCTTGTGCTTGAATGGTTTAAAGTCATATTAAAATGCGCACAAAGGAGTCGATAAGAGGAATCAAAATTTAAATTTTATAACAGCTAGACGATTCCTGACCTTAAAGCATCCTATTCCAGAATTGGAATAGATTTTGGATTCCCAAGCCTAGGTATGGGTTAAAATGTTAAATAAAATGCTCTTTTTTTTTTTGTCCTACCGAAAATGTGCCTGGAGTCCACCTTTGTTATTATTACAAACTACA